CGGCCCCCTTTCAGTTCCTTTAATTTTGCTCTTTTTTTTTTTGTTTTTTTTTTTTCTTTCCCCCCCCCGCAGACCCCCCTGAATCCGGCCAAGAAATCAGCAAAGATAGAGAGAGGGGGAGCGAGGTGGGGGGAGTGGGGGGGAGGAGACCACCCTCTTTCCAGCTGGCCTCTGTCTGCCCGTCATCTGGGCAGGAGGGGTTGGGGCGCTGCTGCTGCCGCACCATCCCCGCCTGGCTCCCGCCGCCAGCCCCGCAGCGACACCGTTTACCGCCTCCCCGGGGCAGCACCGGCTCCGCAGCCACCGGCTCTGCCCGCTGCTCCCCGGGGGCGAGGAGGGCGGCTGCCAGCCCGAAGCTCCGCCGCTGCCTCCCGAGGCAACGGGCGCGGATGCCCTCGGGGTGCGTGTGAGGGGGGTCGCCCACCCTGCGATGCCCCAGGCAGCAGCGTCACGCTGCTCCTCAAGCTGCCAGACCTCCGGTTTTCAAGACTTCTCCCTTTTCCCCGCCACCCTCCCCCACTATAAAACGTAATTCGTTTCATAGGGCAACAGGGGTCGAGTCCGGGGACCGGGGATGCGCCCTCCCTCCGCCCCCCGCTGCAGCGGGTGGGTCACGCGTGTTGGCAAACGCCGTTTGCTGGAGGAAACGGGGCGCCGGCGGGGCAGGGAGGAGAGGGGCTGCTCCCAGATGATGGAGGAGGCTCCAGGATCAAACTGGAGAGGGAAGGAGGGCGGCGGCGGGACGAGAGGCAGAGCAGACGGGGATGGATGCTGGACCAAAAAGGCAGAGGGTTGGGAAGGACAGAGCCGGACGCCGCATCAGCGTGCCTGCAGCGCTCTGTGTGTGTGTGTCTGTGTGTCCGTCTGTCTCCAGCGCAGCTCCGTGCCGAGAGCTCGCTGGGGGTGCGGGCAGGGAGGGGGTGGGGCTGGTCTCAGACAGTGACCTGCAGTTGAGTGGTAGCAGGCTTTTTCCATCAAACTCTGCCTGGATACCACACACAGAGCCCAAGTGTCAGTTTACTGCCCTGAGCCCGGCTCCTTTTCCCTAAGCTCCACAGTAATTAGACAAAGAAAACCTAAATTAACTGAACAGGCGTCGACAGCTTCCTCCAGATCACCACTGCTACATACATGGGAATGTGTCCGAAAATGGCTTGATTGTACCTGAGGATCAAGCTAAGAAAAACACTACCGAGCCCAGCAATGTTTACTACACATTTTTATAAGAAAAAAAATGATCGCTCAGTCCCTAGACTGTGTTTACCTTTCCTGAGGCATCGATTTATATTGTTCCCCTGGTAAAAAAAAAATAAATCTATCTCTAAACCTATCTATCTATCTATCTATCTATCTATCTATCTATATCTATCTCTCTGTATATCTTCCTTCTTTCTTTCTTTCTTTCTTTTTTCTCCCTCCCTCGGAGGGAGAGGGAGGCCGACGTGCTATTCCTGATCTCGTTGTAACGACCCATTCGGAATATTACAAAAGAACAATCAGTGATTTTATAGATTAACATCCTTCCCTGCTCTAGATCGGGGAGCGACTGTCCTTTTTCGCCTTCCGAAGCGGGACGTCTGGCTAAATGTCACCTTCGGGCGAAATGCCCGTCACCTCGGGGACTGTCGGGAGGGTAAATGCATGTCATTGCAAGGGTTTGGGGCGGTAAGACGTCGTCTGAAAATGACTCTAAGGTACCCTCGTTTCAGATAATATTAGTCGAGCAGGAAGAGACATTTACTTCCGACTCGGATGTCGCGATATATGAAGGTGTCGTTGCTTTCTCCGCGGCGTGAGATAGGAAGGAAAGGGATGGGAAGGCGGACAGAGCAGCCCCGGGGCAGAGACCCGCACGCTGCTTCAGTCGCGACTTGACACAGCCCCGATACGAGAATTTTGGGGAACACACTCAGTCGGCAGCCTTCTACCTGTTAGCGGTGTCCTCTTCTTCGCAGCAGACGCGTGTTTGAAACATAGCATTAAGAAGTCTCCAAGACACGGAACCGAGACTTTAGAAGACGGTTTGAAGTGCCTATGATTAAACAGAAGTGCATTTGCTGTTTGGTGGAGATGTTTATTTTGGTTGGTGTATCCATTTCTGAGCTGATCCCAGCTTTGGAGCACAACTGGTTTGTTTTACCAGAGTATACGGAAATTAAACTTTTTGGCAGATTTGGTTACTCAGATGTTGTTCTATAATCATCGTTTTTATTCTAGGAAATCTCTTCATTATTGCGGTTTCAGTTTCATGTTCATAACACAGTCCCCTTTGCTTCGTAGGCTAAATGAAATAAGTTAGACTAAACCAGTTAAGAAAACGGGAGACAAATATGAAAGATAAATGTTTACGGTTATCTTGGAGTCCTTTTTTTTTTTT